TCGTGAGGTCTCAGCGGGTCCAACACTCTCACACAAGGAACAACTGAAAAAACTACAAAGAAAATATGGCTTGGAGAATGAAAGTTTGTATTATTTGACGTGTTTTCAGAATGAGCAAATTAATTTAAAAATATAACTTGTCTATAGAATTCACAGAGGGCCAACAGAATGCAAGCAGCAGCAGCTATCAAGATAGGGCTGCCACGAGACGTTTAAATGTTGGTAGCAGCTCTGATAAAGAAAAAACACAAACAGCTTCTGTGGACACGTAAGCTTTGTCAAAAGTAAATGTTTTCGTTGCAAAATTTTATTTCTGTTGTTTTTTTTTTAATCTTTATTGCAGGGCAATTTCTAGTGAAAACAAAGGATTCAAAATGCTATCGAAATTGGGTTGGAATAAAGGTGAAACCTTAGGAAAATCTCAGGCTGGTGGTCTTCTAGAACCGGTAAGATCGTATAAACAGAATCTTAACTCTGAATTTTATAAAATTAATTTGTTTTTAGATAAACGTTGAAGCGAATGCTGGCACTAAAGGATTGGGCTGTGATGATCCGACAGCTGGTATATCCTTGAACTCGTCGGCTAAGAAAAAATTTGAGCTAATGCAAAAAACAAAGGAGCGGTATCAAAAAGCTGATATTTTTAGTATTAGCGATGATAGTAACTAATTACAAAATAATTATTTATTTGTAGTGAATTTGAGTATCAATAATAAATAAAATGCTTAAAATAAATATTGGACATATTCTCGGGCTCGGTGGTCCATCTAATCTAGAGTTCTGCGTGAATGTTTAACAAGTAAAAAAGCAGCTAAGCAGCCATTTGGAACAAAATTCCGTCGGAAAATACAGCTCAAATGAAAACCGTTATATGGTGCTTTACGAAGACGTGGTGATGCATAAGTAATTTGTGTCATAGGCTGTTTAGCTGTTCCGAACATATACAATTCCGTTGAATAACGTTGTAAAAATTATCAAAAACCGAATATCGGTTGGAATTGTTATATAGGGGATATATGATATCGTGGACCTATAAAGAAAATTCTCTTCTAGAAGGTAATGTACTCACAAAGAACTCCTTATGTAGAATTTCAAACAATTCAATTGAAAAATGTGGCTAAAATTATCAAAATACCGAATATCGGGGGGTACCGTTATATGGGGGCTACACGATATCGTTGACCGATGTAGATAATTCTCTTCTTCTATTTGTGCGGATTTTTAGACAATTCTGTTTAAAAATGTGGCTAAAATCATCAAAATACCGAATAACGGGGGTACTGTTACATGGGGGATATACCCCATCGTGGACCTATATAGACATTTCTCTTTAGGAATAAAGTACTTAGAAAGAACTCCATGTGTAGAATTTCAAATAATTTCATTGAAAATAGTGGCTAAAATCATCAAAATACCGAACGGTACCCCCGTAGGGCCATACTATATCGTGGACTGATATAGATAGATACGCTGATCAAGAATATACATATATACTTTGTTGGGTCTAAAATTATTATTTCGATGAGTTACAAACGGAATGACGAACTTAATATACCCTCCATACTATGTATGATGGAGGGTATAAAAAGGGGCATATTTATACCTGTCCCAGAAAGAAATGTCCAACCTACAAAAATCAAACAAAGTTATCATAAGAATATAAAGATAAGATATAAATCTTTTAATGAACAAATACAGCGTTTCGGATAGGTCAGGCGCAGGACCCCTGGCGTCATGCTAACAACTCAGGATACTTCAATTCTATTTCTCCAATTGCAGTACACGTATGTGGCTTAAGCGTACCACTTAAAATTTCTGTCGAATGATGTATTTATTGGCAAGTTTGTTTGTAAACTAAATAATACCATGTATTCAGAAATGTTTAGAATACAAGAATGTCTACAAGGTACCCAAAATATAATTTGCTTTGGAAAAGAATCTCAATCATTCGGCGGTGTGTTGTCGTAGGCACCATGTCGGTCTAAAAAGACCTTTCGTATGTGTTTATATGGTTTGCAAAGTTGAAGCAATGCTATATTACAGGGTGAGATTTCGGACTGCTGTCATTCCCAAGCCACTCGTCCGACAGCTGTTAAAATTATTCCAGTGACAGCTCATTATATTATTTACAAGCATACCAAAGCATTTTGGTGAGAATTTTTCAGAAAAAAGTTATTCGTGATGGAATTCAAGCGTGATAGTGTGATTTCTTTATATTTGGCTGGAAAACCACAAGTGGCTAACGTTAGAGCACTCCAGTATTTAAATGTGAATAAATCTTTTGTGCCTCGTACCATCGCTCGTTACCTTGATACAGGAAGCCTAGCCCGGACGGAAGAATACGGAAACATCAGCAGAAATGGTTCGAAAGTACAGAAGGGACTTGATCGAAACCCACGTCGCAGTGTCCGAAAAATGGCTCGTGAGTGAACATATCGCAATATTCCATTCGGCAAATATTGATGCAATAAAATGCAGTTTTGATGCAGTTTTTTTTATCTCACCCTGTATTTTTGTATATGAGAAGAAGTGGACCACTAAAAACGACTTGGCCTTAAACCTCGTAAATACTGTTTACTCTGGGTTCATAGTTTACACAAATTTCCAATATATTAGTATCTTGTAAGTCCAGTTTATTTTGGTATTTAGTCGAAGATGCGGCCTCACATAGGTATGAGAATGTAAAGGGGATGAATACTTTGATGGCTTCATCAACTAGGTAAGAACATTTCCCAGCAATAGAGATCCAGAATTTTTTGCGAATACATTTTTTTGTGATAAATCAATGATCTTTTCACTTGCTTTTGTCGACATATCATTTGGTAGATGGTTGGTGCTGATATTCGGAACTTTTATGATTTTATTTATTTATTTCATTTAATGCAATTTTAACCCCAATGACCGATAACAATTAAATTGGAAATAAAACAACTCATTGTATTTTAACAAATCGATAAAATGAAAATAATAAAAAACTAGTTATTATTAAGTTATTATTATTAAACTGTCACAGTTTCTTTTCTAGCAAAAGTAAGGAACAACTGCAAATATTAATCTCAAGAAAGGAAATATTAATTTCAAGAACTCTTAATTCTAATAATTTAAAATAACATACAGATAATACTTTCGATGTTAATGCGGATTTGATAACTACTTCCCAATAAAAATAGATGAGGTTGTTATGATAAGAAATTATACTTGATCGTTTTGAGTCCAGACGGAGAGCTACTCCAAAAGTGGATAATATGCGATATGATTTATTCCTATTCTTAATTTGTCCAAACATAATCAATTATTGCGATTAAAACCCATTTTTCTATCCACTTATTTTAATTAATACACAATGGTCCAACAACTGTAAATCAAATCTAAATATAACCCATCAGATATGGAAGGGTTTAGGGAAAATAGTAGAAGTTCCACTGAAAATTAAAATGCTAGTATATACATTTGTATCAGGGATGTAAAAGTTCAAATTTGCAAGTTTTTCTTAAAATCGAGAATTGTTTAATTGGGGGCGGAAGGAAATTGCAAATTATTTCCTTATATTCTCCACAGTTGTGCCACAGTATACCTCAATACAATATTGAATGTGTGACATAATTGATGAGTTTTTATACTAAGTAGTAAAACTATGTCGGTGTTATATATCTGACGTAATATGAAATGTGTATGTAATAAAAAATGGTCAATATGAAGATAAAATGAAAATTTGGCTTCGATCACCATCCCCAAACATTTGATGCTATTCACAACATCAATTGTCTGACTGTTATAAGACAAATCTTGGGTATGCTTCACTGAGTCAATAGAAAGCAGCAACGACGTCGCCAGATTCCGTAAAGTCCTTGCGAAGGATCCTAAATCCATAGGAAATATAAAGAAGACTGGGGGTACGTGGACTGTCTCCGGAATAGAGATTCTCCAGAATAGAGCGTATTCTAACTATTCGACTGGGGACCTAAATCTAACCGACAAAATTGTAAGAATATCTAAAATTAGGTGGGTCATTGACACATTCAAGCCTTTGAAATCGCCCGGGCCAGATGGCATCATTCACGCCATGATTCAGTATGTCCCGGCGTCAATATCTCTAATTCTGGGGCAATTCAAAGCTTATCTGTGTCTATTCTCCATCCCGGTACTATGGAGGGAAGTTATGGTTGCTTACATCCCAAAAGCGGGAAAACCAAGTCACTCACTTCCTAAGGATTACAGACCTTCCTATTGAAAACATTAGAAAGGCTGATTGACATTGAAATCAGATCTCTACTACCCACGACTGTCATCAGCATTGCTCAACATGCCTACATTGTTATGTTTACCACCTTATGCGGTACTGTGGTGGGTATCCAGCTGCTCAGGGGAGCTTTTTGCTCAGGTCGGTTCCAACCCTGACACCAACAGTCCAAGGGGCCTAACAATTAAAAAAAGGGGACATAATACAAACATCAAAACAATCAAAAATACAAACACTACATACACCGGTGACAAGGGTGCTTGGTGGAAGTTGCACCCACACTTAGCCCACCCAACCTTGACCCTTTTGTCCAGTAATTTTTAAATATTTAAGGGCCCCGCATTCCACTAACACTTACCACACAACTTACATCCTATATTCCCCCAAGAGTTTACAAATTAGCACATCATATCGACTGTTAACACTTATACATATAAATAATTTATTGACATATCGAGAGTTGACTTAATCCTAACAATTAAATATTTGCACAACGTTGAATTTAAAATTCCTAACACCTGAATCTGTCTTTATGTGAGCCAATCGCTCGGGCTACTACAGTCTACGAAGAGTACATAAAAATTTCTGCCAATCTGGCCACTTCAAGCATCTACTCCCTCCCTAATAGAGCTCTGTTAAGGGGATATTATGGACGTTACCTTATGTCCAAAATTACCAATAAGCTAGAATTCTCCCTTCGTACGACGGTCTAACCCTACGCTCAGGTATATAACCGGGCGTTAGAAATTTTCACAATATAAAAATCTTAACCTAAATTCTATACACTAAGGACAATCACACTTAAACTACAGATAATTACATTAAATTAAACTAGTCAGTACAAAATTTTGGTGTCATTCCATTTTTCATTCAAATTAATTATTAATCAAAATTCTCTTCTTTTTTTCCAGGCCGCAGGAGGAAGATATATATATGCCACTTGGCCGCACCAACCGTTCAGGACTCGGTAAGTTTTAATAATACAAATTATTACCTGGAGGTTCTGTACTCATATATTTTCTTTTCTTTCCAGATATTGATGATCTTTTTGACTTTTTCGGCATCAGACCTACCGAGCCGACCACTGTTTGAATACCGGTACTTTGGCGGACCGGGGCTTGGCCTCACTCATGGACTTTCTGGGCAGCAGCGCTTTTTATATAAAAAATTTGCTGACCTCCTCCACCGAAAACTTGGAGGGGTCAGATATCTAGCCGTCTTTTGTTGGGGTGTTATCTTAAAAGAAAAAACACAACATCGAAACACCAAAAAGACATACACTATTAGAACAACAGAAACTTACGAAATTTTGGTCACACCCACACATACACAACAATCGGCAAATAAAAATAAAAAAATTACGAAAACTTTAATTCCACTATCTTGGTGTTTTTATGGGATCACTTTTTTAAATTTTAGCTTAGAAAAATTTTTCCTTGCCCGTTTACCAAAACTTTAATGGCGAATTTTTCTGTCCGTTACCCCTTTTATACGGCAGCCATTGGACGCAATCTTCCCACTTTTCCTTTTTTTTGTTCTCCCTTGTTTATTCTCTTCCTCTTTGATCGCACTTAGCGAGCCCTATCGTTACCCATGGTTGCATATGATCTTAGTACCATGTACTAAGAGGAACATTGGCAGCACCTTGACACCCAACCGTATCCGGTTCATTCATTTTTTCAAGATCGGCTGGAGCGGTAATTACAAATGTAAATTCTCGCTCAGCCGATAATACAGAAAATTAATCTTTCGCAATCGCGGTACGCACGCAACAAAACTTCGCCATTTTCACACAAAAAGTGAGAAAATGGTGATGTGCGTTACTGGATTGTAACATTTTCCTGCAAAGCATCAGGATAAAATAATCAATTACAAAAGAAGAATGGATTTTGATCCACACAAAAAAAAACACGCTGCTGTGCTCCCACATTGACTTGGATATATTGGTAAGTATATTAAAAAAATTAGTTCATAATAATTTTATAAAAAGACCAATAAAAGAAAATATTTTAATTAACCAAATTTTCTTTTCAGAAAAAATATCGGTACATATTTCCACAATGAATGACCATGTGGGGTGGCTCAGCCTACAAGGTAAGTGTGAATGTGGGTACATTTACGCATCGCCATTGACAAGAATGCCGGTCACACATACTTGTGCTTGTTACAACTACAACGGTTTGGTGCCGCTTTGACGAGCAGAACGTCGCCGTCGCCGCTGGTTTGAAACAAACTCAACAACGTTAAATGTATGAACGTCATCTTCATACCATTTGTATGAAGATTGAGAAACAGGTAATTATATTCTTTATATTCTTACTATTAGGGCAATTGTTTATTTAATTTTCTTTTCCTTTCAGGTAAATTCAAGATTCGCGTTCGTGAAGTACCATTTGGGAAATATCTGTTTTTTCTTATTTATTGCGCAATTGACGTGCGACGACAACAAGAAATGATCGCCATTCAATTCACAACGGACAATCTGTCTTTGCCTGTGGTGGCGTTAATAGAGGAATGCTCTTCGGTGTTGTGTTCCCCAGGTAGGTTTTGTGTGTGAAAAACTTGAACGTGAAAAATATACAAATAAGAAACAAAGATTCTTGTGAGCAAAGATTTGCGGTGGCCACTAAATACACTTAATTGTGCACAAAAGAAAAAAATAAGGAATGAAAACAAAAAGTGAAAACAACGAACATAAAGAAATATGACATTCTTGAATACATGGTTAAAAAAGGGCTGAATGAATGAGTCATATAAAAATTGTGCAATGTTCGTAATTCTTCCCCCCACAAAAAAAAACTTGTTATCGTTGTTAAAATTTGTGCATTGTGGCTCAGGTAATAGTGGAAATCTTTGCGTTGTAGATAAACCAACAACAATCGTATGGCTCTGTCCAAATGGTGGTAGTTTGGAGTGATTATGCGTTTTTTTATGTTTATGTGTTGTTTATGTTTATTTGTTTTGTCTATGACTGGAATTTTTGTTTACGATTGTGTTGTTGTATTCTAGAGACGACTCTTTTACGAAAATAGGAAAATGCAAAACAATTTCTTGGTGAAATGTTCCTTTATGAATATTTTAATTTTTACAGAAAGATAATTTATCGCCAGTTCATACAATTTTACAAATTTATTTTGCTTCAAAACAAAACATTTGTATTTTCTGTGCCAAACTAATTTATGTTTTTGTGTTTTTATTTCAGTATTTTTTTCCCAATTGAATGCTATGAAAGTGCTACAATGAATCTGCCAGCATGAAGGAATAGTTTTTCGTGACCTCATCGACTTTTTTACATCACCACACAACAACGTTCCCCTGTGGATCATAAACCTTCAGGTAAGTCTTGTTTACTTTTTATTTTTGTGAAGTATTATTATTTGAAATATTTATATTTATTATTTAAAATATTCTGCAAAAACAAAATGCGTGGAGCATTCAGTTTTAGGCAACAATTACGTGGAGTAATTATTTAAAAAAAAAAATACATAGAGTAGCCGAATGTTAAAAAAAAAAAATAAAAGAAGCAATTGTGTTCAAAAAAAAAAATACGTGAAGTAGTTGCTTGTTGTGGAATGAGATTGATTTAAAGGTGTTTTGGAATTTAGGTATTCAATCTCTATAATTGATTTATAATATTTTGCTAACGTTCACCGAAAGGAATAATTTGTAAAGTATTCTATTTTTTTAACTAGATTGTACAATTGGCATTCAGAATCATTCATGGGCTCTCGGGTAATAGAAGAAATATAAAAAAAATAATTTCATTTAAGAATTATTTGAGTTGTTGATCATGAAAATAAGGGTTTGCTGGAGTTGGAGATATCTTTCAGTAGCTCAACGTGGGGAACTCCCACACCCTGAAGTCTCATAAGCCGGGCATTCAATTCTGTGCTAAATTAGAATATAAGACATTGGTCGCTAGATAAAACATTTACTTTCTTTTGCATAATTGTAAGCAAGATAATAATCTCTAAGCATAAATAATCATAGTCAGAATAATACCTATATAAAAAGGGGACTGTCCACAGCACAAAAAATTTATGGTATAAATGAAATGAGTCAATAAACTCCAGATATAATTACAAATAGTCATATAGTTTGATAAAATTGGACGTTTACGACACAAAATTATAAATCTATATTGCACTATTATTATATCACAGATTTATTGCACACTTCCTACACCTTAATATCTTTGGCATGATAATTACCAAGGGGTTTTCCCTGCAGAGTCTCCAACTCATACATGTTATTACCTATGGGTTTAACAATTCTGCATTTTAGGAATTTCTTACAAAATTTGGCATTTACGTTATTTTTGAAATCAGAGAGCATATGATTCCGTCTATAAACCTCTTGTCCAGGTAGGAACTTGACAAGTCTGGCTCTTTGATCGTACCGTTTTGCACTATTTTCGTACGCGTTATGTAGATTCTTTTGGACCTTTTCTCTCATCAGCTTTAATTTGTCTGTTTTATTCATTTGCAAAATTTGATGGTCAGTTAATGATTGGAGCCGCCTAGCTAATTTGTAATCTGTTCCGCTCGTAAACATATTATAGCCAAACAACGCAAAGAAAGGATTCACACCGGTTGCTGAGTGAACTGAAGTACGCAAAGCCTGTTCAATTTCAGAAAGATACAGATCCCAATCACGGTGATCCGACTGAACATAGGTCCTTATCGCCGCCAGTACAGACTGGTTTACTCGCTCTGACGCGTTTGATTGGGGAGAATAGTAAGCCGTTGTTAGGTGATTGATTTTGTATCTTTTGATCATTTCTTCGAACATTTTCGACACAAACTGCTTCCCATTATCACTATGTATTATTTCTGGCACTCCGAATGTATGAAATACTTGATCTTCCAGAAATTTTATGACGTTTTCGGTCGTTGCTTCCTTCATTGCATGCAGGAAAATAAATTTTGTAAAATGGTCCATTACTATAAATATGTAGGAGTTTCCTTTCTTCGATCTAGGGTATTTGCCTAGGAAATCAATATACAGCTTCTGAAATGGTCTGTCGGTTACTACTTCATTTCCAATTGTAGGACGCATATTTTGATTGGATGGTTTTGTTTCCTTGCAAATCTGGCAGTTATTTACATATTGCTTGACTTGAGATATCATTTTTGGCCAATAATAAAATGTTTTTAAGCGGTTTAGGGTTTTGTATATGCCATCGTGGACAGCTTCCGTAAAGTTATGCGATTTTTCGATTAGTGCGTATGTTATTTCCTGCGGGATCCAAAGTTTCCACTCAAATTCCGTAATGTCTGGATCGCAATTCTTAGTTCTTTTATAGACTTTTTCATTTTCTATGCGGAGATCTGGTAACTTTTCTTTATTTTGCTTTATGGTGTTTAACAACTCGACATATTCCTCACTTTCAAATGCTGTGGTCTCGAAATCTAAGAGTTCTTCCTCACTAATCTCTTCAATTACGACATCGGAGTCAACCGGCATCCTTGATAAAGTATCCGCCACTACATTTTCCGAACCTTTACGGTGTTCAATGGTGAAGTCATACGCTTGGAGCTGTAAGGACCAACGAGCTAGTCGTCCGCTCAAGTCCTTTAATGACATAAGCCATTTAAGACTGGCGTGATCCGTAATGATCGTAAATTTCATAAGTTCGACATATGGTCGAAATCTCTTCACCGCCAATACCGCTGCCAAGCATTCTTTTTCCGTCACAGAATAATTTCTCTGGGTAGAATTTAATTTCTGTGAATAGAAAGCAATGGGATTTTCTCCGCCGTCGTCATCCTTCTGGAATAATACCGCACCGATTCCGTATTCCGATGCGTCACATTGGATAAAAAACTCCCGTCGGAAATCTGGGCGGCGGAGCACTGGTGCTGATGTAAGGGCTTTCTTTAAAGTTTTGAAAGATTCCATAGCCTCGGAATTTATATTGAACTTTTGTCCTTTTTTGAGGGTATCGGTTAGAGGTGCAGATATTGACGCGAAGTTCTTAATGAACCTGCGATACCATCCGGCGGTTCCTAAGAAGCTTCTTACTTCTCGTGGACTTCTGGGTACAGGTATATTCAGGATCGCACTGATTTTATCCGGATCAGTTTTCAAACATCCATTTCCAATGATAAAGCCGAGATATTTCAGTTCGCGAAAACAAAATAATGATTTTTTCATCCCGATCGTAAGATTTGCTTTTCTCAGACAATCGGCCACTTCGCTCAACAGTCTTAAATGATTGTCGAAGTCATCCGCAATAATTAGAAGATCATCCAAGTAAATGAATACGTTGGACTTTAATCTGCCAGGAATAACCTTATCCATCAGACGGCAAAGACGTTGCGCCGCATTACAAAGTCCAAACGGCATTACTCTAAACTGATATAGAGGGCGACCTGGTACTGTAAAAGCTGTATATGGTCTGGCTTCTTCTTCGAGCTCAATTTGCCAGAACGCATATTTCAGGTCGACGCTGCTAATATAGTGCGTTTGGTCGATTCTGCTCAATATCCCATCAATATTCTGCAAAGGATACGCATCCTTTATAGTAAGCGCGTTTAATTTTCGAGCGTCTAGACAAAATCTGTTTTTCCCGGGTTTTCGAACCACCGTTGTTCTATTGCTCCATGGGGAGTCACTCTCCTCAATCACCTTTAGAGCGAGCATGTTGTCTATCTCCTTATACACAATATCCTGCACGGCCGGCGATAATGGATAATGCTTATCCTTTACAGGATTTGCGCCTTCAATTAACTTTATGGCATGTTTCTCTAGACTTGTGCATCCTAATCCTTTCTCCTCGAATGTGTAAAATTTGCTTACAACTTCCGACAACCTGATTTTTTGGTCTTCAGTTAGGTCATGCATGTTGGTATTTGCGTTTTTGGATTCCCCATGAATTTTTATTTGGAGGTCTAAATTGACTTCTTCCAATGAAAAGATTTCTGGGGCTATCTCAAATAATCTCCAGAAATCAGTCCCTAAATATAAATCCTGCTGTAGGTCGGGACACAAATACAAAATAATTTCTCTTGTTTTATCCTTGTACTCTATGTTCACTATAATCTTGCCTAAAATTCTATGTCTTTGCCCTGAAGCTGTACTTATCGCTGATACATATGGAAAAATTTGCAGGTTTAATTCTTCGGCGATTTCACGGCACTGTTTTCCTAATAGGCTAACAGTTGCACCTGAATCTAAAAGCCCTTTAACCTCTTTTCCTTCGATTTTAACTCTAACGTAAGGTCTAGGATCTTTAGTCTCTTGAAAACGCTCAATTGCATCGCATATAATCCTTTTCCTCATTCGGTTTTCCTTTTGATATTTTCTTAATTTCATAATTCTTATTTTACTTTTTTCTTTCTTGCTAGTATTTTTAGTCGGATTCGGGTTCTCGTTATTGCTTTCACCGAAAATTCTTGCTTTAACATTTTCGTAGTTTTGTTGCCTAGATTCTAAGGGTAAATAATGTCTTCGTGAGGCATAATCCTGAGTATTTCCCGAATCTGAATCTAATTTATTGGCGGGTTTACTATCTTGGAGGGCTCGGTGGAACGATGGTTTCCCGTCGCAACCATGTTCTTCCGGGAGTTTTCCGAAGCGCAGTTCGAGCATTTAGGGGTTATTGTGTTTGGTCTGCCACATTTAAAGCAAAACAAACCCCTTTGTGTTGCAGGACAGTCTCTAAAACCGTGGCCTGGTTTTTGGCAGTTCCAACAGAGAATTGGGTTGCTCGTAAAAGCTGCAACTTCTACCACTTCATCTATTTCTTCAACCCTATTCAATTCTAACTCCTCTTCCTGCAAAGCACTAACCCGAATAGGTCTATTTACGGGCGGAAATTGTGTTGGTGGTGGTGCTACGCTATCTTTTTTGAAGAATGTACGTTCTATTTCTAAACATTCGATCCTCAACTGTTCCACAGAATTCACTGGCAACGCATAAACTATGCTAGAAAGATTTTTCCTTAAATTTTTCTTTACTAGAGAAATCATTTCGTATTCTGATACAGGCTTCTCTAGTTTAGAACGCATCAAATTCACATCATGGAAGAATGAATCGATTGATTCTCCCGGCATTTGTTTCCGTTCCAATAAATCCCTCATAGCCTCGAAACATGTCCGCCTAGTCTTAAATCTTTCCGTTAACCCATATTTGAGTGATTCCCAATCAGCTATGTTTGAATTTCTTTGCTGGAGCCAAAACCATTCATAGGCTGGTCCTGACAACAGAATATGAAATTCATTTAAAATCTCCTCCCAGGCTAAACGGTAATGTCTCTGGAAATATTCCAACCTATATATGAAATCTTCGACTGACAAACTATTCGGCCTTCCCGAAAAATTCAATCCGAATCTTTCAATTCTAATTCCCATATTGGGTCCCAGTCTATAAATTGACGGTGTTACAGTGGTATGACGATTTGAGTGTGTCTGGTATTCGGTGTTGATAGGTGGTGGCTGAGTATTGGGTGGAGGCTGAGTAGTGGGTGGAGGAACGTGGGGTACCTGGGTTTGATCCGTCGGGGGTCTATCTATAGATAGCCTGGCGATTACTTCATTCAAATGTTGTATCGCAGCATGTACTTTCCCCATTTCCTGACTTACGCTCTCCTGAACTAATGACCTTATACTATTGCGAGCGTCACTTACACTCTCTTGGACCATCCCCCTTATGAGCTGATCCATCTCGTTAGGCGGATTTACTTGATCAGGTTGCATGCTCAATGGCCTTTGGATACCAGAGTTAGGCAAATTATTGGGGTTATTAATAGTCCCGGACAGATCTCGAACAGTACTATCTCTATTTTCCATTGTTTCTTCACCTCTTTTCTTTTTATTCTTCGGCTTTGGTGTTTGAGTCAGAAACCTGCTACTATCAAACGCTAAAACTCTATTTCTTTTACTTTGTCTTTTCCCTGATGTATATTCACTCATCAGAATGATCAAAAATGCATAAAATTCAGAAAACACAATATCAAAAATTAAATATCTATTTAAATGCGAACCGTAAATGGAAGGACAATGTCAGTAAATTTAAAACAGAAAACGGAAATTTAACTAGTATCTATTTATCACAAAAAAAAAAAAAACACAAAATTTAAAAATAAATATAGAAATCTATCAATAAGTAAAAATAATAATAACATAAAAATCAATTCAAACACAACACAATGAGAACTTATGATAACACAAACATAAATAACATAAATACGAATAAACAAAAAAATATCAACTAAAAATTAAAAAAATGTATATGTATATATTTTAAACTGAACAGAACTAGACAGATATTACAAAAATATTACTTTCTTCAAAATATGAGGTAATAGGATGTGTTTTCAATTGTCTGGCAAGTGTGTGGTTTTGATTTAATAATTTTAAACTTTTTTACGAAAAGTGTCCTTTTAGGTTGTCACGGTGTATTGTAAGACGTGGATTTAAACAAGTGGACAAAACATATTACATGTAAATAGACATTACGGCAATTTCCTAATTCTTGCGAAGGAAAAAGATCTCGTATTTAGAGTAATAAAATACAATGCTCTTGCGACTCACTTCGTCCCAGAGGCTATTGCACTTATTCCCTTATGTCTACTACAGACTATTTAATCTACTCTAAATACAAACAAAAACGTAAACAGTACAGGTCATCAGACAATACATCATTTGTTACAGTAGACGAACAAGAGCTATTGCACTTGACCCATTCGATTTGGAAACGAATATCCTAATTTTTCTCAGACTTAAAGCTAATATTGCACATTTAACACGACTTCGATCACGAAGTTGTGGTTGCGATATTCGCTATGCAAGAAAAATGCGATATTCGTTTTTTAATCTATTTTCTTAAATGGTCTATTGAACAGTGCCTCGGTGTTATTGCACTGAATATTTCGATTATTATCGTTTCAGATTGGGCGCCATATTGTTATGTTTACCACCTTATGCGGTACTGTGGTGGGTATCCAGCTGCTCAGGGGAGCTTTTTGCTCAGGTCGGTTCCAACCCTGACACCAACAGTCCAAGGGGCCTAACAATTAAAAAAAGGGGACATAATACAAACATCAAAACAATCAAAAATACAAACACTACATACACCGGTGACAAGGGTGCTTGGTGGAAGTTGCACCCACACTTAGCCCACCCAACCTTGACCCTTTTGTCCAGTAATTTTTAAATATTTAAGGGCCCCGCATTCCACTAACACTTACCACACAACTTACATCCTATATTCCCCCAAGAGTTTACAAATTAGCACATCATATCGACTGTTAACACTTATACATATAAATAATTTATTGACATATCGAGAGTTGACTTAATCCTAACAATTAAATATTTGCACAACGTTGAATTTAAAATTCCTAACACCTGAATCTGTCTTTATGTGAGCCAATCGCTCGGGCTACTACAGTCTACGAAGAGTACATAAAAATTTCTGCCAATCTGGCCACTTCAAGCATCTACTCCCTCCCTAATAGAGCTCTGTTAAGGGGATATTATGGACGTTACCTTATGTCCAAAATTACCAATAAGCTAGAATTCTCCCTTCGTACGACGGTCTAACCCTACGCTCAGGTATATAACCGGGCGTTAGAAATTTTCACAATATAAAAATCTTAACCTAAATTCTATACACTAAGGACAATCACACTTAAACTACAGATAATTACATTAACCCATTAGTGGGCAGTGTCCCTTATAAGGGACTCTCACATTTTTCACTGTAGCACTTTCCAATACTCGCTTTTTTTGTAAACAAGTAGGCTATGCCGTTACTGACACTCCAACGAATTATGTTCTATCCCATTAATTTAATTTCTTGCGAGTTGTGTGTTGTATTTTGTGCAAAATATGGAAAACCAATTTGTGAAAAAACAAAAATCTCGAGCTGGGTAAGTAAAATTTCAATAAAGTTATGATTCTGTGAATATTTTTGATTGTGTTTGTATTGTTATTTGTAAGTTAGTGTAATATACTAGTTTATGCCCAAAAAATAAAATAAATTGTTGTGACACGTGCATAAAGTGACTATGAATGCAACGTCCCCTAAGAGGGACACTGCGCCCGTAGTACAATTGTAATCCACTGATTGAGTAATGAATCTTATATGTGCAGACTTACAGTTTCTGAAATACTGACTGAATTGGATGTTATTGGCGATAATGAGTTGCACGACATTGAAATTTACGCGATCCCACCAATAGATGGTGCAGATACTGATGAAGATACTGATGGTGGTGGCCCATATTTGCATATTTGCTTGATGGTCAGTAGTGAATGCATGGTTGTTAATGAAGAAGTTACATCCCAATGATGCGGCATGTTCAACTCTTCTAAATTGCAACATCATATCTGGAATCGTATGGTACCCCAGAATCAAGAGGTTTGCGCAATAGCAATGTCACTGCGGATACAAGATATGATGGCAGAAACCACATTATTGAATATTCAAAAACAGATAAACGCTGTGGATTATGCGCCCTAAAAATTGCTTTAAGGAATATCATAAGCCAAGTGTACCCAATGCGCAGCGTCCCTTATAAGGGACGGTCCATAACTCCAAAACCATAAGCTTTTTTGAATAAATTATTTTTAAAACAAATTAACTAGACCATTTTTATTTGTAATTGGTGTAAATCGCTTAAAGATAGTGCCCAGGGAACTTCGTCCACTAATGGGTTAAATTAAACTAGTCAGTACAAAATTTTGGTGTCATTCCATTTTTCATTCAAATTAATTATTAATCAAAATTCTCTTCTTTTTTTCCAGGCCGCAGGAGGAAGATATATATATGCCACTTGGCCGCACCAACCGTTCAGGACTCGGTAAGTTTTAATAATACAAATTATTACCTGGAGGTTCTGTACTCATATATTTTCTTTTCTTTCCAGATATTGATGATCTTTTTGACTTTTTCGGCATCAGACCTACCGAGCCGACCACTGTTTGAATACCGGTACTTTGGCGGACCGGGGCTTGGCCTCACTCATGGACTTTCTGGGCAGCAGCGCTTTTTATATAAAAAATTTGCTGACCTCCTCCACCGAAAACTTGGAGGGGTCAGATATCTAGCCGTCTTTTGTTGGGGTGTTATCTTAAAAGAAAAAACACAACATCGAAACACCAAAAAGACATACACTATTAGAACAACAGAAACTTACGAAATTTTGGTCACACCCACACATACACAACAATCGGCAAATAAAAATAAAAAAATTACGAAAACTTTAATTCCACTATCTTGGTGTTTTTATGGGATCACTTTTTTAAATTTTAGCTTAGAAAAATTTTTCCTTGCCCGTTTACCAAAACTTTAATGGCGAATTTTTCTGTCCGTTACCCCTTTTATACGGCAGCCATTGGACGCAATCTTCCCACTTTTCCTTTTTTTTGTTCTCCCTTGTTTATTCTCTTCCTCTTTGATCGCACTTAGCGAGCCCTATCGTTACCCATGGTTGCATATGATCTTAGTACCATGTACTAAGAGGAACATTGGCAGCACCTTGACACCCAACCGTATCCGGTTCATTCATTTTTTCAAGATCGGCTGGAGCGGTAATTACAAATGTAAATTCTCGCTCAGCCGATAATACAGAAAATTAATCTTTCGCAATCGCGGTACGCACGCAACAACATGAAAGGTAAATCCTTTTGAAACAGCGCAGCACGATGAATGACTCCTTGTTCACCTTGGCAGTTTTTCTCGATATTGAGGGAGCCTTCAACAACGTCACACTCGAATCCATTCAAGATTCCCTTTTAAGATTTAAGGTACCCCAACTCCTCATAAATTGGATTGATACCATGCTTAGTAGCAGAATTATCAGCTCAAGCATTAGGTAAATATCCGTCAGGAAATCGGTCACCAGGGGCAGGCCTCAATGTGTTCTGTCACTATTGCTTTTGGTTATTAATAATATACTCTTAGATCTAGAGCAAAATGGGACAAAGGTAGTAGCTTACGCTGAAGATGTTGTCTCTAGTCACCTTATCAAGGTGGGCACGTCACAATGGATTAGGCGTGAACCCATCAAAGGCTGAGCTCGTCCTTTTTATGAGGAAACGCAAATCTCCTTCATTTATACCACCGCTGCTAGATGAGGTCACGCTTAACCTCTCCTCTGAAGCCAAATACCTCGGCACTATCCTCGACCGCCAACTAAGTTGGATCACCAAGGGACAAGCAAAGAGTGGCTAAAAGCTGGGGCCTCAAACCACACATAATTAAATGGGTGTATGAGTCAATTGTTCGCCCCATTCTATCCTATTCACGTCTCATTGATAAAGATCAAAGGGCCGCATCCCTACTAATAACGGGTGTTTTCAAGAGCACATCTCAACTGCACTGGACACCCTACTGTGCCTAAGCCCACTAAGCATACACGTAGAGGAGCAGGCAAGAAGAGCCCACCTACTTCGACTCAGAAAACTAAACTAAAGGCGCAGTCAATCCTTTGGACATTCTGCGATCTTAGAGCATTTAAGGAATGTGGGAGTGGAAGTCAACACACCATTGAGCTTTGATCCTCCTGACATCCACATACCTGACAGGGACGCCAGGGCCCGTAGCAATCCACCTTTCCGCGGCATAGCTGTTTATACTGACGGTTCAAAGATGGAATACGGAACGGGAAGTGGTGTCTTCTGCAAAACTCTTAATGTTCGCGAATCCTACAAGCTAAGAAACGACTGTAGCATGTTCCAGACGGAAGTCTTTGCGGTCAAAAAGAACCATAGACCTATTGGTCACGAGGAACAACGAGGTTAGCAATCTGGTGACTATATACGTCGACAGCCAAGCGGCGCTGAAAGCTTTAAAAACCATTAAGTCTAGGGCTATTTTGGATTACAGGAGATCCTTGAAAACACTGGGTTGTCCATCAAGCTCTGTTGGGTTCCTAGTCATTACAATATTCCAGGCAACGAGACTAGAGACGAATTGGCTAGGCTAGGTCGGAATCAGCTACCATTGGAGTTGAGAACTCGGTCAAAACACCCCTGTGGCACTTCTTCCAGGTAATTCATAGACAATACTTTGAAAGAATTCAACAAAACTGGCTGGACGAAAGAGGATGTAGCATCTCAAAAAGAATCTGGCCCATACTTTAGGAGAAGAGAACATTGTCGCTATTGTCCTGGTCAAAACCTGATTTAGAACTTGTGGTGGGTATCTTCACAGGTCACTGCAAGTTGAGGGCAATGACCTCAAAATGGGACAGCGATGATATTGATTACTGCAGAATCTGTCAATACGAGGAATAAATTGACACGATCCAACATTTGCTCTGCCACTGTCCAGTACTCATTAACGTGAGACACAGGTTGGTGGGGGAAAAAGTGTCACATGATTTGTCTTCGTTCTCTAATTTGATGATTTTCCCCACATTTTTTCACGAATTTGTCTTAAAATTGCTATTTGTAAGTCATAATGGGTTCTAGCTTCGGTGGCGAAACATTGTAACGGAGGCGATATTCGGTATCATGATGATTTTTGCCACAGTTTTCCACGGATTTGTCTGAAAATTGGTATTTGTAGGTCATAATTGTTTCTAGCTTCTTTGGCTGAACATTTTATGTAAAGATCCACGTTTTCGTATATTATATATATTTATATTAAAATGTTTTCGAACTTTTAATCCCCTCCACCATGGGTAAGGTGGAGGGTATTAAAAGTTCGGCCCTGCCGAACTTAAGGGTTTTCACTTGTTTTACTTTTTTGTCAAAACGAAGAAAATTGGATAAAACTGAATTAAATTGAGGCCAGCAATGGTCACAATCCATTTCTTGGAGCTTGGAATTAGGAAAATGGAATTGACGCATGCAGCAAAACTAAGATCCGGTATTTTATTTGCAGAAAATACTTAAATATACACATTGGGCAGTGCCTTATTTTAACAAATTGATGGTAACTACGGTATAGAGTTTGCATATGGAACTTCAAGCCCGCTGGTTCGAATCTCCAAAAAATTAGCAGGTTAAAAGTGATTAAGTTCGGCTAAGTACCCTCACTACTAGGAAAGAAAACAAACTATTCTATTGAAAAATGTGAATTACACAGACGTGGACCATCTGCCAGATGTATTAGTACCTATTAAGACCTTTACATATCGGATTCCTTTGAATTCCAATTCCAATTTTTTAAGTGAAAAACTTTAGCTGGCATTTGTTAGCGAATGATTCATAATTTGAACATATTTAAGTTAAAATTTGCTGTCCAGTCATTTAGTCAATAATACCAATATACTGCCATCAGTTCATATTACAGCCAAACAACACCCTCCAACTACTCTACTCATATAAAATAAAACTCCATTCGGTTGATAGACATTCAAAATGGTTAAAATTTTATTACGGTTTGAATTTCGTTCATTTATTATCATATAAATATGTATGCATGTCATCTGTGTGTAGATAAACATTGTTAACAAATAATAATAATATAATAATAATAATAATTAATTAATAATAATAAATTTCATACTATGCATTCATTTGTTTTTGTTCACTTCGTTTCGATTTGCATTCCGATTTTCTTTTACGCTATCAGTCAATTGAAAATAAAAGTACATGTGTTTGTATGCGTATATGAGTATGTGTGTGGTCAATTTTTCGTTTAAATTGGGCAAGTGAAACATTCGGAATTAGAATTTGGTCAATAAATTTTTGATAATCCTTTGCCATTGAGCTGCATCTGTGTGTTACGTGTGGGTGTGTGTGTGTATAAGCGTATAAAAACATATTACTGTTAAATAAATAATAAATAAATACATTTAATTATTCGTTCGAATACAATCTAACAATAACTAATACTCTTACATGTTTACCACCAGCCTGTACACGGGCAGGTTAATTTGCAATAAAAACAAATTGAAACGTTGTCATCCTTTGAACGTGATTTTAATATTGCTGTGTGTTGTGTGTCGGTGTGTGTATGCATGAGTATGTATAAATATGTATATAAATGTGTTTGTATATAGAGTTCTGTTAAGCCTCTTCAGAAATGTCGTTTGCATATGGGTGTGTGAGTGTGTTATTCGATTTGTAATTTGTTAAGCACATCCAGTAAGTAAATATGTTTGTTTGTTGTTAAGTACTGCTTTTACGGTATGTTTTTGTGTTGGTTCTAATCTGTATATTGATATCTAGAACACTTCTTAAATAGCATAATGTTAGGTGGGAAAAATGTGCCGGGTTATATGTTTTGTTATTAAATTTGCTAATACATTTTCATTTAATAAATTTATATTAAAATTGCTATTTTTTTTCAAAATAAAAGCCCAGTTGAATATTTTTCCAAATCCATTCTTAATAAGCCCAGCGTAAAGGAAACCCCGGGATGTGATGTAAATGGAAACGACAAGAGACAATTGTTTTGGTAATTCGGTTCAAATTGAGTCTCTTGAATTATGTATATCACACAGCTCTCCGTATCCCTGCTGGGCAAACTAAAATCTTGATTGGCAAAATTTTTCAAAATTTAATCTAATAGGCCTTTTGATTTCATAGGCTCTGATCACGAATATTGATATATTGTTTTCTTTTATTTTCAATCATTCAGGTTGGAAAATACTGGGCTTTTTTTTGTATTACATAATGTGCTATAATTTTGATTATGTGCCGTTAAAACGTTTTTTGTTGAGATTTTCAAAAAATTGGTTTCTTTTTTTGCTATTCAATAAATTCTAACAAACAACTACGGACAAATTGGGGTTAATCCATGGCTAATCCGCCGTGTTCAGTGACAGTGACCAGGATATTTGACATCGATGTAAAATCCAGTGGAGCAGGAATCCTTGCGCATTTCACACCAGGAGTTATAGGTGCGGTTATTAACTCCACAAATTTTCTCCTCCTCAAAGCGGGCAGACTGAAAAAGGAGAACAAATTTTCCAATTACACATATTTTGAAATAAATTATAATGCATAGTAGTTATATAATATGGGGAAAATTCCAATTTTGACCATTTTAAATTTTGTTTTTGTTTTAATTTAAAATTTTACTACATTGAATTATTTAAACAGTTTTTAATGTAAATAATACTTACTGCTGGCCTCCTTTTTCGTGAACACTTGTAGCGGCATGGTGTGCATCGGGGCTGGTGTGTGAGCAAATCAATAAGACAGACCTGCTTTGGGCCACAATTAATGTCGTCGCAAGTCACTTGGTTGCCTGTAAATGTAAGGAGTTTCGGCCATGATTAGAGAAAAAGGATTCTTTGTAGATAGGAAGTTTTTATTGAGTGAAGTAAACTATAATTAAACTAACAATATAATACAATATAATAATTCTTATACTTTTCTCCACAAGATGGGGCATAATCAATTTCGTATTTTGTTTCCAACGAAATATTCCTCTGCGTGCACATGCAGTGTAGAGGGTGAGATTAAAACGGCGACAAAGTCAAACGTTTTTTTAATTTTTTTGTATTTTTATGGAATGAAAGCAAAAAATGTCGGAAATAGCAACAAATTTTAGAATAAGTTTAGATTTGTTCGAATTGGTCACCTTTGGCACGAATTATGGCCTTCAAACGGCCAATGAAACCGTCACACGCTGCCTGCAATTTGCTCTGCCGAATTTTGGCCCATTCTCGGCGAAGCGATTGCTTGAGGTGATCGACACTTTGTTTTTTTTTAGTGCCTACGTTACTTTCCAAAATATCCCAGACACAATAGTCCAACGGATTGGTATCCGGAGACTTTGGTGACCATTGTGCTCTGGAAATGAAGCGAGGAACCTCATTTTGTAACCATTCTTGGGTGGCGCGTGTTGAGTGAATCATCAATTTATTTTTGTCTATTGTCTGTCTATCTTGGTTTCCTGCTTTGTGGGGTTTCGCCAATACAAAATTTTTGTTAGAAAAATTGATTTGGATATCGCTCTCATATATATCTTTATTTGATTTCAGGTTAATTGTACACCATATGGTTTATATCAGCCCAAATGGGTGTGAATTTTGGCACTTCCGACCGAATTCAGCCTAGAAGCAAGTGCTTTTGATGAAAATCGGTTCGGGTATAGTTCCCATATATATGTTTCTTTCGGTTTGTAGGGACAAATGTATTTCGAAATGATTTGGGTATTGAGCCCAACTAGAAAAAATATAATTATCCATGTAAAATGTTCAAAAAATTTCACTAAAATAACTACTTCGGAGGTGGCCCCACCCTGCATAAACATTTCTACAAACATTAATTTTTTTAAAAAAAATATATAGGCACAAAATACCTAGGTTCCGGAAAGAGCCACCAATCCTCATCAGTTCCTTTGTGTGGGATATTCTCCCCAGGAGTTATTTTAAAAATAATTCCAATGACAACAAACTTTTTTTACTATACTAATATTATTTATCATTTTATTTATGCGAAATGGACAATATTGACCTACTCCTATGATACATCCGCCATAAAGAGTCAAGATTTTGAATAAAAATAACACAATAACGAATATAGGCTGAGGACATACATCTGTCGGCAAAACCGACCGATACTTTTTAATTTGATTTAAGCTCAATGAAGATGCTAAAGTATAAATTCGGAGAATATGGTTTCTCAAAATAACTAAAATCAGACCGAACATCAGACAAATTTTATTGAGAAATATAAAATTTCACAAATATTTAAAAATGAGCCAAGGTACTTCATAGGAACTTGCCAGTATTATAGATGAACACCAGTGAGGAAAGCCAAAGGTCGGGCGGGGCCGACCCATATGATACCCAACACCCGTAACAAAAATCGTTTATATTGGGAATTTATGTGAATTAGATCATTACAACTATGAACCTTGAATGCTTATCATGGATTTAGAGTATTCATAATTTGTGAAATATATCAAAACTGAATCGATTTTCAACAAATTTGACGGAGGCTTTTGTACCTCTAGTACCAAATAACATTGCTGTCATATAGTGCACTGATTTGATAAGAGTTATATAAAAAAATATTTATTTGAGCAATAGATATACCGGATCTAGTTTTACCAAATGGAAAAATACGATTGATTATGAAAAAATCTACCAAATTTGGACTGATATTACATATATGGTGGGCAATGACCGTAAAATCGGATGAAGATGCATTTCGAAGGTTTATAAAAATCTGAGCCGATCTCGATAAAATTTGGCAGAGGTATTTTCAAGCTGTATCTGATATCCTTGTTGTGGAGTGCATATTACGCATATGAGGGACTTTAACACTAAATCGGATGAAACATATATATGGGAGCTATAGCTATATCTGAATCGATTTTCACCAACATTTGAAGTACTTGCTTCTAGGCTGAATTCTGTCGGAAGTGCCAAAATTTAGTCCATTTGGGCTGATATTAGCCATTTGGTGCAAAATAAACTTAAATTCGGATAAAGATATATATGGGAGCTATAACCAAATCTAAAACGATCTTGACAAAATTTGAAACACTTAGTTTTTAGCTGTATCTCATATCTGGTACCAATCTTCATTGTTTGGAGTGCATGTAAAGAATGTGAGGGGCGTGAAACTAAATCGGATGAAACATATACATGGGAGCTATTGCTATATCTGAATCGATTTTCACCAAATTCGAAGGACTTGTTTCTAGGATGAATTCAGTCGGAATTACCAAGATTCAGTTCATTTTGGCTAGTATTAGCCATTTGGTGTAAAATAAACCTGATATCGGATAAAGATATATATGGGAGATATACCCATATCTGATCTGATCTCGATAAAATTTGACAAACTTATTTCTGGGCTGTATCTAATATCTGGTACTAAATATTATTCTTGTGGAGTGCATATTACGCATGCGAGGTACTTAAAACTACAAATCGGATGAGACATATATATGGGAGCTATACCTATGTATGAATCGATTTTCACCAAGATTTGAAGTACTTTCTTCTGGGCTGAATTCCGACGGAAGTGCCCATTGGTGTACAATTAAATCGAAATCCGTTGACGATATATATGAGAGCTATATCTAATTTTGTACCGATTCTCACCAATTTCAATAGGGTTCGTCCTTGGGTCAAACAAATATTGTTTGAAAATTTCATCTCAGTCGGATAATAAATGCAACCTGCATTTTGTCACAAAAATACATGGACAGACAGAGAGACTAACATGCATAAATCGATTCAGAAAGTGGTTATATGAAGATCCTAAGAAGTAAGTATGAGTATGCCTTGCTTCCTTCTACGTGCTACAAACCAATGCAAAAATACATAATACCCTTACCACTATGTGGTGTAGGGTATAAATATATGCATTTTATAGTGACTATCATGTTTCTATCAACGATAAAATAGATATAGCTCCATTCTATGGAGCCGGATATAAACATAACCTAAACTAATATGACCGTGTAGCCGTAGTCTAATTATGGTCCAACGGCACTTAAGGAAAGATCCAAATTCTAAAGGAAACCCCGAAGGAAAAGGGGCGGAAACTCATATACTACAACACTGTACAGATTTATCAGTTCTATCTGTAACAAATATATGATTTTATTTGGAATTAGTGAAAAGTAAATCATACTAATGATGATCGTTATTGATGGAATGCGTACTACAAATGGCACGTTTGATCTTTGAAATCGGATGGAACTAATATACGGGAGCTATATCTAATTCTGGGCCGATTACATGCGACCTGATTCTAAGTAGATCATCTTAAAAACTGATTTTATAAATCGTTCAAAGGAACTATAAGTCCATTTTTGTCTGTTATAAATAAATTCAACATTAAAATGGTGTTGAAACTTGCACGGGGTTCGGAAAAAAAAACTTTTCATATTTTACTTTCCTAAAAAAAGGAAAAAAAAAAAAACATTTCAATAGTCATTGTCTGCGATGGCACTTCCAGAGACGGCGTTTTATCTCACAAGAATTGGCATATTCTTTAATTGTCGTTGTAATTGATAAATGTTTTAATTTCTACTTTTGATATTTCCTTCGAATTGGATAAAGAGGGAACCAGCCAGCCATATCTGTGCCTTCTGGCGTTGTCGCAATGCTAATGCGATCACATCCTGTTACAAAGTTATTACAAACGAGTTTTCTCCCCCCATTTGCGAGCTGGCGTGGCTGTTGCTGTTTCCTATGGGTACTATGGAATAGGTGCCGCTGCCTATCGATGTGAGTACATTTTCATTTTACAACCATTAATTACTAAAATTACCAACTACTGGTATTGAAAAATTCGTTTCGATTCATCTGGCCAATGCAGTCAGTCAGTGTAGGGTCGCCTTCAGCAAAAGAACCCGATCAACAGGCAGCTATACGATTGCCGCAGCGCGGTGCTGCTGCTCATAACACAATACGAGTATTGCCATGTTCATCCGACAATTTAGGTATCTATCTATTGGGATGGCAGACGGCAGAAGTGCGGACTGTAATTAAATATAGCTCTTAATTATAATGTGTCATTTGCAACTAATCACACTTCACTATTAATTTGTTAAAGGGTAACGATAAAGGGACAATGTATGGCAATTGCAGGCAAGGATGGCAGCGTCTCTTATTTTTTTGTAAGGAGACTGGTTAAAGTGATTTAGTTTGATAATAAAGAAATATCACTTCAATGTTTAATGCAATTACATAATAGAATATAGCAATTTCTTATAAATAAACTGGAATCGGTACTGCCACTATGAGATCGGTATGGAAAATCACCTTTGCGGTATATGTAGAGGTATAGAATAAACATGTTAAAAAGTATCGGTCGGTTTTGCCAATGGATAGATAGATTCTAGTTTGCGCTATGAATATGTAAAAAAACAATAAGTTCGGGCTAACTTTTAGTACCCTCAACAATTGGGTAATAAAACCTTTTTATATAAAAGTATCTGAAGTATGGTCCACTTTAAACTACATATACCAGTAAGACCGTTTGGATAATACTGTTAAACTTTAAAAAAAAACATAAAGTGGGTTAGGCTGTTGTATGGGGGCCATACCAAAACGGGAACCTATATAGACAATTTTATACTTCAAGGATTGTCCTCTACCAAATCTTCTTAAATATCAATTTTGGGTAGTGATAATCGTGGGTAAATGTGACTAGGATTATCAAAATACCGAGTATCGATGGGTGTCGTTATATGTGCCCTATAGGAAAACGTGGACCTAAACTTTCAACATTCTGCCACCGGATCTAGAACCCATCATGACCAACAAATACCAATTT